TCCTAAAGAAAACAACACAGTATTTATTAAACAAACATATTATATGTTGAATACTTTTTTTAAAGTCTACACTTGGAAAGTTAGTGTTACCTTGACGACGAAGCCTGTGCACCCAACCAAAAACCTTGACCCTGACATCCCTTGTCTGAACGGCATGACGAATCTTAATCTACAACAAAGACGTAGGAAACTGACATTCAGATATATTGTATAGCATTATTGAAAAAAAAATCATTCTATAAATGTACATGGACTGGTTATCAATGTTGTTGATCCACGGATACAAAATTTTTTTCTATGTACAGACGATTTGTCATGGTCTACCATAATCTGAACGTTCGCATGTTTATCATGTCTATAAATAAATTTTGACACCAGTTTATTAGTGTTTAGATAAATTTTCCCACCTGCTGAGGGGCTGGCAATGACTTGTCCAGTTCTATCACAATCTTCTTTGCCTCCTCTAAGTTTTTCTCTCTCCTCTCAGCATCTTCTGCCTACAAGTAAGAAAGTCAGGTCAACTGGATGATTTTTACCAGATTCAATTATTAGGGGGCATATAAATACAGACATTCAATATCTGAAAACACTCTTCACCAGTATGATAAATAGCTTAAAAGAATTTTCTCCAACTGAAATTACATGGCTTAACAACATGTTTACTTCTAAGACTACTTATCTGGCCATTACCATACTATAACCTAACACAACACTAGGGGTGAAACGATACGCCTCCTTCACGGTTTGATACATATCATAAAATTTGGTCTGTTGTTTTAACAGTTTTATGCTTCCTTTTACTTAATCAAGTCAAATTATTTATGTGCAAAATGGATAGAATAAATCAATTTAATTGATTTGACTGTAAAAAATTATTTTACAAACTTTAAGTACACAAAAATTTACGTTTTTGAACTAATTATACAGAGAAACATGTTAATACCTTATTCCAAATCCGACTGAATGACGATCCCAACCGAAAAACGAACTGAACCGAAAGTAGAGATTTTGTACCATGTATCGAACCGAGAAAAAATACCGCAGTGAACCGATACCGAGGTGAATTGTTTCACTCCTACACAACACAGCCCTAGCTGTTACAGACCTCTCTTGCTGTCAGGTCAGCCTTCTTATGCTGGTCCCTCACAAATTGTTTGGTGATCTTCTTCAGCTGTGACTTGGAGGCCACTTCATATTTCTATCAAAATGAAAAACAAATTGCTTATCTTAGTACATGATAATAATTATCATTTTAAAAATTGCTTATTTTTAAAAACCTTTGTCATTGTCTCAATTACTGATTATCCTGGGGTTCCTAGCTTTGATTTGTTATACCTACCTCATTCTCCTTTTTACTATCGACATAGATGGGAGGAAATGGTTCCTGTCCCGCCTGTTTCATGGCCTGAAATACAGCAACAGTTAATAGATCAATTCTTATATTTGTAAATGAAAAAAAATTTCAAAGATCGGAGGTTTAATATTCATATATCTATGAAAAATCAGGAAATTACTTATCATGTTCAAGACTTTGATAAGTAGAAAAATACAAGCTATATGCATACATCATGTATCATGAAATAAAAAAGAAAAGTTGTCCACAATGTATCAACTTATCTGATTTATTATTAAACATAAATGGTTTAACTGTTACAGCTGCATCTTGCTGCTGAATTTCAATAATCATTCTAACTTTCTTTTTTAATTTTACTGACTTACTCTAAGAATAGTCTTGAAGGGTTTTTCTTTTGTGCCATCACCTGTATCATCATTTCCTGTTGTTTCTGAGGTGTAAATCTCACCTGAATTACAAAATGACATTGTAAGGTAGTCTGATTACACCTGTCAGGTGACTCAGGTGTAACATGATACACATTTTACACACATTAACGGAAATTTATCTAGTGAAATTAACAGGTGAAAAAAGTTTTTTAAAAATTATTATTTCTAAGGCAAATAAGATAGTTGTCATGACCCATAGCTTTGATTTATGATATGTTTTACAACTCTTATAGTTGTCCTTGCAAATTATGCCGAATTCTGAATTTCAAACAGTAACATAACTAATTTGCTAAAATAAATTTTTTAAAAGGTTTGTTTCTGATTTTCATCAATATTGTCTCCAATGATTACATTATCTACCGGTAATACAAACCAGAACTTAATAAATTTTTTAAAAAGTCCATGACTGTGAAAAATTAATTTTGCATATACTGTAACCACTGTTTCTATTATTGAACAAATTGAACAATAGAAACAGTTTGCAAAAATTAAGTTCCACTTTCAAAATCTAAATAATTTTTTGGTTATCTACAGTTCTTAACATCAAGCATCTCCCCTATGTATTTAAATAATATAATGAAATATATCCCTGTATATAGGCAAGGTTTAGAGGTCTGTCACACAAAGCAGTACCTTAGCTAAACAAAGAAAAGGAGGAAGACCTTGTTAAAACTTATAAGATAAGAACATAATATCTTTTTTGAACAAAGAGTTAGACTGGGAGAGCTCAACGATGTGTAACTTTTGAGAGGTCTTCATTATCTTTCAAGGAAAATTAATCCACCAATCCAAGTACGTAAAATATTGTAAATCTAACCCCATGAACTATCTCAAGTATTATACAAATAGTAACAAGATTTCCTTGGTTATTAATCTTTACATGATTAACTTTTTACATAAGATTTTTGGTCTGTCGGTCCTGTGTGTTCAGTATGAATTTCCCATAATGCTGTATGACCCAAGAACTTGTCCAATAGACTGGTCAGTGTGATTTTTTGACAGGGGATGCTTATTCCTCCATGGCACCTGATCCCTCCTCTGTTTTCAGAGTCCCTAGTTGGCTCTGCTTATACTTTGTGTTGTTGAAATTTGGAATTTTGAGAATGATCAGTTTATCATCTCTGATTTCAATGAAAGAGGTTCATTTAGCCTAATTTATTGTCCTTCATTGGGTTTGAACTCATTTGTTATAGATCAAACAATGATTAATACATTGTTTTTGGTAATGATCATCATGAGAAAAACAAGTTGAAAGTTGAAACTATAATCATGATAATGACTAATGTTAGAAACATGTTTGGTCATTTTGACAAGACATTTTGCTGTCTAAAATTATGCTTAGTTTAGTGTCAAGGAAATTTAATAGCGAGCGCAGCGAGGCGGCGCGAAGCGCCGCTGGCATAGCGAGCTCTTAAAGCAACGCCTGTGCGAAGAGAAAATTCGGACTTCTGCACATTCATTTGATAGAATTTTTTGATGCCGAATTTGGACCCACAATGCATCACTTGTTTTAGCTACGTTCTCGCGAGAATCACGGCAAATGTTGAACAAAAAGTTTTCTCGCCTTGATTTAATGGATATATATTGAAGATAAATAGAAAATAAAACGTTCTTCATTAACTTTCAGCACTGCTCTGGCTTTTTCTCGGTATATTGCAATTTGCAAACGTCATGTGACGTCAGAGTCTAGACGCACCGAATGTCACGTGCGGCTTGACGAGCCCGATCTAAATCAAAACAATAGAAGAGTTTGCGCTCGCTCTAACGGTCGCACCGTCAACATATTATGCCTCTTAATTACAACTAATTTGAAAAGTCATATTTTACAAAGACGAACTTTAAACATGTTCAATGGATAATTATTTATGCAGACAGATCCACTGATTTGACAGTCTGAAAAAGTACCATATTGACATACCGATTTTTAACTGCTGTGTAGCTTGTTCTACGCCCTCCATGTTTGTCTCCGTAATTCGACTTTCTTTACACAATATTAGGTAACAAAATCGGGCATTATCCTGTTATTCGCTCCGCGGAGTGAATAATATTTGACGTTGTTGACGTAACGTCAAAACATTCCACGGATGCAGAAATAGCAAATAAAACTAAAACAAACCTCAGTACGATCCATTTATCTTAGGTCAAGGTCGAAATTAAAAATAAAGATCTCAGGTGAAACTAATAACAGTAATGAGAAAATACATTCCTTACTAACATTTATATAATAAAAATGCAAATATCAAGTTTTTTGTTATTCTAAAAATTTAAAAAATGCAAATGTATGAATTAAAGAAATCCAAAACATTCTCCGTTATCATTTATATATATTAAATGAATGAATATAGTGTGAAAATTATTCGCACCGGTGCGAATAACAGGAGTATATATATACAGACGAAGTTCCAGATTTCAAGCTAAAATGCCCAGGAAAGGGAAGTATTCCCGGGAAAAGGGTTTCTTTGGGGGAGAGAATATAAAAAAATGGGGCTTGGATATTTTTGGGGGGAGACACTCTAAAATACATTTAATGAATGAATATAGTGTGAAAATTATTCGCACCGGTGAATGAATATAGTGTGAAAATTATTCGCACCGGTGCGAATAACAGGAGTATATATATACAGACGAAGTTCCAGATTTCAAGCTAAAATGCCCTGGAAAGGGAAGTATTCCCGGGAAAAGGGTTTCTTTGGGGGAGAGAATATAAAAAATGGGGCTTGGATATTTTTGGGGGGAGACACTCTAAAATACATTTAATGGATGAATATAGTGTGAAAATTATTCGCACCGGTGAATGAATATAGTGTGAAAATTATTCGCACCGGTGCGAATAACAGGAGTATATATATACAGACGAAGTTCCAGATTTCAAGCTAAAATGCCCTGGAAAGGGAAGTATTCCCGGGAAAAGGGTTTCTTTGGGGGAGAGAATATAAAAAATGGGGCTTGGATATTTTTGGGGGAAGACACTCTAAAATACATTTAATGGATGAATATAGTGTGAAAATTATTCGCACCGGTGAATGAATATAGTGTGAAAATTATTCGCACCGGTGCGAATAACAGGAGTATATATATACAGACGAAGTTCCAGATTTCAAGCTAAAATGCCCAGGAAAGGGAAGTATTCCCGGGAAAAGGGTTTCTTTGGGGGGGAGAATATAAAAAATGGGGCTTGGATATTTTTGGGGGGAGACACTCTAAAATACATTTAATGAATGAATATAGTGTGAAAATTATTCGCACCGGTGCGAATAACAGGAGTATATATATACAGACGAAGTTTCAGATTTCAAGCTAAAATGCCCAGGAAAGGGAAGAATTCCCGGGAAAAGGGTTTCTTTGGGGGAGAGAATATAAAAAAAAATGGGGCTTGGATATTTTTGGGGGGAGACACTCTAAAATACATTTAATGAATGAATATAGTGTGAAAATTATTCGCACCGGTGAATGAATATAGTGTGAAAATTATTCGCACCGGTGCGAATAACAGGAGTATATATATACAGACGAAGTTCCAGATTTCAAGCTAAAATGCACAGGAAGGGGAAGAATTCCCGGGAAAAGGGTTTCTTTGGGGGAGAGAATATGAAAAAAGGGGCTTGGATATTTTTGGGGGGAGACACTCTAAAATACATTTAATGAATGAATATAGTGTGAAAATTATTCGCACCGGTGCGAATAACAGGAGTATATATATACAGACGAAGTTCCAGATTTCAAGCTAAAATGCCCAGGAAAGGGAAGAATTCCCGGGAAAAGGGTTTCTTTGGGGGAGAGAAAATAAAAAAAATGGGGCTTGGATATTTTGGGGGGGAGACACTCTAAAATACATTTAATGAATGAATATAGTGTGAAAATTATTCGCACCGGTGCGAATAACAGGAGTATATATATACAGACGAAGTTCCAGATTTCAAGCTAAAATGCACAGGAAAGGGAAGAATTCCCGGGAAAAGGGTTTCTTTGGGGGAGAGAATATAAAAAATGGGGCTTGGATATTTTTTGGGGGAGACACTCTAAAATACATTTAATGAATGAATATAGTGTGAAAATTATTCGCACCGGTGAATGAATATAGTGTGAAAATTATTCGCACCGGTGCGAATAACAGGAGTATATATATACAGACGATCTTTCAAGCTAAACTGGAATATTTGGTGGTTATTCATTGTGAGAAAAGTATTTTCAAGATGGATGAAAATAGAGGTATACTTATTAGCACCGGTGCGAATAAACGGGGGAAGATTTTTACAAAGACCATACTGAGTATAACTGAATCAAAGCAATAAGGTGAACACTATTCATGCTTTCTTTGTTCGTATTGTTAAGTAGTAAACGTGAAAGCGTGTTTTTTTTTCCGGTTTTTGCTATGGTATTCAATTTGAATTAGGTCTGATATAGTAAACAGGAACTAAAATCATGTTTGTACAGAGATTCATTCACTGTTCGAATGATATTGTAAACTCGCTTGGATATACCTGTATCACTTCAAGGCATGGGTTCCTTAATTTATATAACAATAAAATTTAAGTAGCATAAAAATATGGTTTATTCCGTTACAGGTGTATAAATAAACATACAATTTATCACATTTCTACATGTTTTTGAGTCCTACGCAATGGACAAAACAAGAAGATGATATACCATGTGGTTTATTCCGTGACAAAACAAGCGTAAAAACATAACATATTACATTTTATTCCTTGATAAATGTATAAACATAAAATTATTCATGAAAATATTGTTCATTCCGTTAAATAATATAGAAATTAAATTGATAACAGTTTTTGTTTTCCTCATGCATATAAGAGACATTTACGGAATAAACGATATACATGTATACCAAATTATTTATCACATTCAAAATTTTACTCAATAAACCATGTAGTTTATTTCGTAATAAAATAAATATAATATATAACATTTTATTCCCTGATAAATGTATAAACATGAAATCATTTATGAAAATACGAGCTGTTTATTCTGTTAAATAGTATGTATAGAGAGTAAATTAATTGATAACAGTTGCCGTTTCCTCATGCGTATAAGAGAAATTCACGGAATAAACGTTATACATTGCATTGAATAATTCTCTCACATCCAAAATTTTATCCAATATGCCCTGTAATGAAATTTAGTCGTGATAAAAAAATTACCACGGAATAAAGGCTAATATCTGAAAGTATTTATATATTCTTTCAACATGTTCAAAGGCAAGTATAAATATGAAGAAAAACGTAACGTCAACAACGTCAAATATTATTCACTCCGCGGAGCGAATAACAGGATAATGCCCAAAATCGCACGATTTTATACTAAAAATCTTGTTTATTTCTAGTTTATTGCATCATCTGTTGATCCCTCCTCGTGTAACCGGTGCACGACAATGCCGGAAGTTGTCAGAGGTAATGTCGTAAAATAAAAAAAAAGATACATGTATTTTTCATTTAAATTAAATTAAAAATCTTATTATGTTATATATTGGCTGTTTAACACAAAAACGTTGTAAATTTAATACTTGATAAATACAACGTATTTTTAGAAATGTATGCCGTCACGACATTATCAACCCAAATACGATACGCGCACGCAAAGGAAGTAGAGCTTGGAAAGAAACGCAACTTTAGACAAAAATACCCGTTTTTATTGATCTGAAAATCACATACATCATTCATAGAGATTTTTCGAAAAAATTTGAGTGGTCACATTCACATTTTGTGATGCATTTTAGCCCAAC